ACAAATAATATAAGAAATAAGCAATTTTTTATCATCTGCTAATGCAGATGGGCTTTCCGCCCTGTCCTGCCATGTATTCATGGTAATAATAATTATGTTTTGAAAAATAAAAGCACCCCTTGTTCTTTATGTGCCTCAGACTGTTAGTAAGTGAAAATAAGTGACTTAAATAGAGCAGCACTGAAGGGCACTGAAGGTATGGTTGCACAACTAACCTTTGGGGTATCTTTTGGGAATACTAATTAAATAGCGCCCGCAGGCCGTCGCGAGAGAACGGAAAAGCTGAGGTGCTAAGGAAATAAAAATTAGTTTCCTCCTATTCTAGTACATAAGTACCGAGATCAAGGGGTGAATACCTGATATTTATATCAGCAAAGCACCAGATAAGTCCACAAACTGAGGTGGGCCTAGTCGCCCATTTGGGCAAGCCCTTTATTTATTATATTAATGTTTTTTTACCTGCCGATATAACTTGTCAGTACAAATAGGAGAAGGTAAGAGAAGAACACGAGCCATACCACCGAGCTTCATAGGGTAGAATATCCCCGGAGAATCTGCTCCAGGAACTGGAGAATGTTTTAAAAGCATATAAAGCTTTTTATATATTGTACCTAATAATGGTACATTATTATATTTTATAAAGCCTAGCGACCCCAGCCAGTATGACTGGAGTCGAGTCTTGCGTGAAGACCAGTATCTGGCCCACGCCAGAGAATGCCTATAACTTCTAGATATTGAAGTTCTTATAATGACATTTATATATTGCCTATAAAAAGAAGGCAGATAAAAGTTATATTCAAGACAGCCACTAGCCAGCATGAGAGGAGGATTTGTGAGCAGGATGGTGTAGGATTTGCAGAAGAAAGAGAGGGAGAAAAAGAAGGAAGAAAGAAAAATCACAAAGGAGTCGAGAGAGCAGGAGGTATTTATACATTCTCTCACGTGCAGGAATCGCGCTAGAGCTAAGCGAGGATTCACCTGGCACAAGTGACTGGTTCAAGTAGTCACGTTGACCTTCCAGATGGATGTTCCAGCCAGTAACAAAGGAAGGCCAGCTCAGGTATATATATCTGGAGAAACATCTAGCAGGAGGTCAATATAATAAGATAGACTGCAATACAGATTATATGCAGCTATAATAAAAAGCGGTAGCATTTATAGAGTATAGGAGAATTATGAAAAGGTAGATAGATGTATTTAAAGCATGAGCACTAGCTGCAGCCAGGCACGTGTATCTACCTCCAGGGAAAGGACATTAATCCATCCTCAAATTGATGTCTAGTCTAAGGGGTATAGTCAAATTGGGCAACGGTACAGTATACTCATGTAGAATAAGTCGTTCTCATCATCCTTGGCCGTGTAAAGCAAAGTGCCAGAAACACAGGCACAGATATCAAAGACTGGAGGTTGCTTCCATTACTCGAGGAGAATAGGTTTTGGTATTTCCAGGCAGTCAGCTTCTACCCAGTATTTACAATCAGCTTATTGGGTGGGTATAGGTATCAACGAGTGGTGCTGAGTTCTGGAAAGCAAATGGCCTCCGGCCTTTGCTTCGTTGATGCTCCCATCAACTCTCAACATTGACTTGACTTTGAGAACGAAAAAGTCATAAAGGGAGCTTGGGCCAAGTGCATCCATGGTTAGTTATCTTAGCCACGTGATCAAGGTACTTATTACATAAGCTAGTGACGTTTTGGCTTTCAGGCGCCCGTGATGCGCTTTTGCAGGAAGCCGGCGTTGGTTGACCAAAGGCATAACCACCACATACTCAACATTGACCCCGACAAGGGCTGGCTGTCGTTTTCCAACCTGTGTATCTCCGAGAAACTTCCGAACCTGCTTGGTTTGTTAACCATTTAGAACCCCGGATATCCCGCGACTGACTACACGGATTACCTCCACCATGGACGACTCAGACAACCGCCTATTCCGGTTTACCAAGTGGTTTAACAATGCCAACACTCGTACATCTGGCATATATGCCTCTGGTGCATTGGTATGAACCTCTGCTTCCCCAGTTTTCCTCGACCGGCTGCCATCTACCCTATTATTCTGCTGTTCCACACGTTCTCAAGCTTCCAGAGATCCATCAGGCTAACATGTTATCTCACCTCCATCTAGTTCTCCATCGGCCTCTTCTTCCTTATCGATGCAGCTTCGTTCTCTCACAGCCCCAAAAATGGCTCAGAGGTGCATGTGAAGTTCGTAGACTGGATCCCCGGCATCTGCTCTGCCTTGGGGATGCTCGTCATCAACTCTATTGAAAAGTCGCGCCTCAGTGCGGATAGCTTCAGCTATTCTGGGGATAGCGTGGCCTGGAAGGCGAGATTTGTGCTATTCCTGGGCTTCGCGTTGTTGGCTGGTGGACTGGCTGGGAGTGTAGTACGTTCTGCCCTCTTCTCTCCGCCTGTGACCGTTGTTTTGTCGATGGACTAACGTTTGCCTTTTAGACGGTCCTGGTTCTGAAATATGTCATCCACGGGTACCCGCTTCAGACTCTTTACTTTGGTATTGCGAATGTTGTTGCTAACGCACTGGTGATGATGAGGTGAGTTTTGTGGTTGAAATATGAATTGCCTGTTTTTTTTTTTGCAAAGCTAATGAAGTAATGTCTTTTTCTAGCTCTGCCGTCCTGTGGATTGCGCAAAATATGGAGGATGACTATACATACACCCTTGCTCTATAAGACCGGAACCACCGTTTTCGAGATTACTTTGTTCGGCTTGTTTCCATTGTTATGTTATCCATGTTTTCCTGTTTCGTATTTATTGGTCCTCCTGTAGAATATTTTGAGCAATGATACTATTATAAACTACTCTCCGTGCATCAAATTTTCTGAAAAGAGCACCTCAAATTATCTATTATTTGATGTCAGGGGGGATTTTTTTTATGATATGAATCGAGATGCTCGGTGGGTATTATCATTATATTGTTTAATTCATGCCCGTTGGGCTACTTATCACGTCTGACCTCGCTTTTCTATGGTCGTGACGAGAGTTGCTATAGGTTGGCCCAGCTGACTAGATGCATGTCTAAGATTCTCCGGTTGTCCATCTTGAGGCAATACACTCTCCAGGAGGACTCATAGCACGAATTTCCTGACGGCTAGAGATGCCCTCCTTGCCATACTACCCAGGCAGTTCCTGGGAAACAGGCCTTATGAGGAAAGCAAAGTATCTTCGTCTGTTGGGTATCTTGTGACGGTATAGCTCTGGCGATTGTTTGAAAAGAGTTGTTTTTTTTAATATCCAATGTAGTTCAAGCCTGTTTTAGATGTGCAATAATAGCGTCTATCTTATCCATGTCACCAGCATCGATTTTCTCATCCGCGCCCACGATCTCGGCGGGCAAGTGTTCTCGCAGCTGGTCTAGGGCGGGCTGATAGTTTCGCACACACGAGGATATAGCGTACACCGCTTTGCGACGGACAGTAGTATCGCTGTCCTCCCTGGCCATTCGAACTAACTCTGGAATAACCTTTGCTTCCAGGGCCTAAACCATACGTCAGTAGCAGTTACAAAAAACAACAGATGTAACGTAGGGTCGAAAGCATACCTTCTCTTGGGACTTTTCATTATTCTGTACTGCTGTTCCAACACACCATGCGGCCATTTTCCGTATCTCCGCCTCCTCATCCTTTAACGTCTCTACTAGCGGTGGCCAAAGGCCCAGGGGTTCCATATTATTCGCATTATCCAGATTTTCAACCAACTGTTCAAAATTGTCAAAGGCGATAAGCTGATTTTCCAACGTTGTTTCGGAGGATCGCACGACTTCCATTGCGGTTTTCATGAGTTCTGCGTCTGAGGGGGTATTTGCTAGTAGGCGCTGGAGGGCTTCTGCATCAATGGGCTGTCTATGGGCTGGTTGTTCGGTCCCGTTTGGCTGGCCGTTGGCCGCAGGAGTGTTTTCGATACTCCATTTAAGGAGGTTGTTCAACGAGGGGTCCATGGCTCTGAGTGTTGGTCTTGCACTGAATATCAGGGGAGTAGCTCGTTATCGATATAAGGAACAGGCCGATAAAGGGTATAACTCGTGAGCTTCAATCGCAAAATCTTCTAACTGGTGATTTGACTTGTCCGAAAATAAAATAAAATAAAAGAATAAAATAAAAATTGTTTGCAGTGAACAAGCAACTTCATGAAGCGCCCGCAATATTCGATAAGCTTCGATCGGTCCACTTTAGATCCGTGATTATATAAGCAATATTCTTATCAAAAAAAAATGCTGGCTGTTCGTTCGTCGGTTAGACGAATAGAAAATGGGAGATGGGAGATGGGTAGATGAAGCTTCTGCGGTATCATGGCTGCATTTCTATAGGTGCTTTAGGCCATGTATACCGAAGAAAGATGAACGTATCAGGGGAAAAGATGTGAACCTGGGAGGCAATCGCACCCCCGAAACGAAGCCCAAGGTGATAGGATGGCCTGTCAAGTCAAATCAAATGGAAGCACGATGAAATACTAGAGTACCTGAACTGGCAGAGGACAAAATGAGGTATGGAGTAGCAGCAGTTCTTTCACGGCCTTTTGACGGTGACTGAGCGGGACGAGTGTATGTATGGACGAGGATCAGAAAGACGACTTGGGGAAGACTTTGCAGATCAGAGATCAGATAAACCCTTCCGTTCCGTTCATCCCCATCCCTGCGAACATGTCCGTGCTCGAGTGAACTGTTGGGCAAGGCTGCTCGTAAAAACGAGACTCCTTGCCCCCGACTCCGGAACGCCGGGTAGCATGGGCAGAGTGACTGTCCGCCAGCAGCAACGAACTGTTGGGTGGGAAGTGCTGCCCGCGCCTTCAAGCATTGGATGCAGTCCTCAAGGAGTCCATTTCTCCGCTCGCCGGCTGAAGGGTGTTGACGCGAGAAGCCAACGCATCGTCTCCCCACTCCGTAACTACTCCGGGCCTCTTTTCTTCTGAGATAACTAGTTATCTTCTTCTCGTCATGTTGATATCATTGAGCCCCTTTTGCAGGCCAGCTTCACGTGACCTGGACTTTTCCAAATGAGTACTCCATCGCTCAAGGGGCAGAGATGAAGCAGGCGATGAAGGCAAGGAGATCAAGCTGCTGAGATGTTGGGGACTTGGGGTGACGCTGGGTCGAGTAGTAGTTATTATTACGTAGCCCCCCTACGCAACTATTGAGCAGGCTTGTGGTTTAGTGAGGTAGCGGTGGGCGAGCAGAGAGAGACGGGAGAGACAGGCTAGGCAGCATCATTCTCCAGGGCCGTGAAGCGCCTGGGAGCAAGCGTCCCCCGAAGGCAGCGACATTTCCCTCCATCATCAGAGCACCAGCAGACGGTAATTTAATGAATTAATGCATCTACCTGGCACAGCGCCATGGCATCAGCGGCCGGAGTGCACGATGCGTCAGGCCATGTACATTGGCCATCGTAGCAGCAGGAGAGCGAGGCAGCCATATTCCTGCCACGCATGACGACGACGACTAGGCAGCAGCAAGTCTATAATAGTATCCCTCGACTTCAGCATTATCATCATCATCATCGACTACCATCACCATCGACTTCTTCATCCTCATCTACCAGCATCGACTTCAACTCTACTGCAGGTAAACGGTGAAGGACGAGGCTGCCGCCCCCCGAACGAGCCAACCAGGAGGTCTGCTGGCTTCCCACACTAAAACCTCACTAAGCCCGCTTCGCCCTGCGCTCCACCAAACCGGCCTGCGTCCTCCTTCTTCCTCTCCTTCTTCCACCACCGTCTCTCTTCTTCTCCCTCAGTCAATCTCAACAACATCATCCATCTCCCACGCCCATCAACCCGCCATCTCCCTGCTTCCGCGTGCAGGCCGCTTCGCTTCTGTCGCCGACTCTACGCTCGTCTCTTTCTCTTGTCCCGTTTCCTTTTTTAACTTGTACTATCAGCCACCATGGAGGGTATGTTGCGAAACCAAATCTCCCCCCCCCCCCCAAAAGCTCTGGCCGCCCCCCCCCTACCCGCGAGACACCGTCCAGCTCTCCCCCTTTCAGCCTTCGTCTCCGTGCTCCTCCGTCCTCCTGTGCTGCTCGCTAACTCGTCTCCCGTGTAGAGGAAGTTGCTGCCCTCGTCATTGACAATGGGTGAGTTCTGCGTCGTCCTGGCGATCCCGCCGTGCTGCCTGTTCTGAACACTTTGTGTTGTTTCGCTGTCTGTTCGCCACGCAACAACCACAACAGCAAGCACAGCGCCAACATCAATATCAACCCACTCCCCCACGTCGCACTTTTTTTCTCAATATTATCTGGATGGTTTTTCGATGGATAGAGGCCGCTTGGTTCCTTGACCTCTCTGGCGGAATGCTGACTCGATTCCTCACTACAGCTCCGGAATGTGCAAGGCCGGTTTCGCCGGTGACGATGCCCCACGAGCTGTTTTCCGTAAGTTGGCCCCCCTCCCCCTTCTCATACTTGAGAAGTCGAGAGACAATGTAGTGTCAGAAGCCCCAAGCTAACTCCCGTCTGCAGCATCCATTGTCGGTCGCCCTCGTCACCATGGGTAGGTCTCCTCAAAAACTATTTGTGACACCGCCTGTAGAGCGGGGGAGACCAGCTGCTAATCAGGTTGAACAGCATCATGATTGGTATGGGCCAGAAGGACTCCTATGTTGGTGATGAGGCACAGTCAAAACGTGGTATCCTAACCCTGCGATACCCCATCGAGCACGGTGTCGTCACAAACTGGGATGACATGGAGAAGATATGGCATCACACCTTCTACAACGAACTCCGTGTCGCCCCAGAGGAGCACCCAGTTCTGTTGACCGAGGCCCCCATCAACCCCAAGTCCAACCGTGAGAAGATGACCCAGATCATCTTCGAGACCTTCAACGCCCCAGCCTTCTACGTCTCCATCCAGGCTGTGCTCTCCCTCTATGCCTCTGGTCGTACCACTGGTATCGTCCTCGACTCCGGTGACGGTGTCACCCACGTTGTCCCCATCTACGAAGGTTTCGCCCTGCCACACGCCATCTCCCGAATTGACATGGCTGGCCGTGACTTGACCGACTACCTGATGAAGATCTTGGCCGAGCGTGGCTACAGCTTCTCTACCACCGCCGAACGTGAAATCGTCCGTGACATCAAGGAGAAGCTCTGCTACGTCGCCCTCGACTTCCAGGAGGAGATCCAGACTGCCGCCCAGAGCTCCAGCCTCGAGAAGTCCTACGAGCTTCCCGACGGCCAGGTCATCACCATTGGAAACGAGCGATTCCGTGCTCCTGAGGCTCTCTTCCAGCCCAGCGTCCTCGGTCTCGAGCCATGCGGTATCCACGTCACCACCTACAACGCCATCATGAAGTGTGACGTCGACGTCCGAAAGGACCTCTACGGAAACATTGTCATGGTATGTTCTTCGCCCCCTTCTTCTCCTCCTTCTGCCGTAACATGCTCTACAGATCTGGTACTAACTTGTATGTGTAGTCCGGTGGTACCACCATGTACCCAGGTATCTCTGACCGTATGCAGAAGGAGATCACTGCTCTTGCCCCATCGTCGATGAAGGTCAAGATCATTGCTCCCCCAGAGCGTAAATACTCCGTCTGGATCGGTGGTTCTATTCTCGCCTCCCTTTCCACCTTCCAGCAGATGTGGATCTCCAAGCAGGAATACGACGAGTCCGGCCCATCCATTGTCCACAGAAAGTGCTTCTAAAGAGGTGGGTTGCCTGCCTTTTTACTACTCTTTCATTATTATTCTCGCATTGCTTGTTATTTCAACGCCTACCTTTGTCTTGCCGGTGAGATAGCAACGATAGCTGCTTGGAATCGAGCTTTGTTATGTTAATACGGACTACGTTGAATATTTTAGCTTGACGTCGGAATAATTGATAGATAGAGAAAAAGAGAAAGCGAACAGCACCAACAAAAAAAAAAACTCACAACCCCTTTTCCCCCGCAAAAAAAAACAAAGGTCACAACTCGGTGATGCATGTTCCATGGCCATTAACTCCGTACCGTACTCGCAGTCAACTAAAAAAAAAACAACCTCTTTTCTTTATCTATCCAATTCTCTCCTTTCTCCTCTCCTTTATCAAGATCCTTTTCGACGTCCATAGTATTTGAATTCAAGTTAAATATTTACTTCCTTTTTCTACCTTTGGTCTCTGCTTCTTGTATTACTTAACTCATTACTGTGAGATTTCTTCCATCTTCAACTCGAACTTCTCTCTGTTTCTCCTTTGCCATGTCTTGATCTCCTCCCCTGCCCCTCTATATCTTCACGTGACCTGGCCTTGGAGACAAAGCACACTTTCTCTTTGCTCTATCTATAAATGCAAAGCTCTATCCTTCTATCCATTGCTTACCCTTACAGGCCACATAAACACAAACGAGGCTGTCAGTGACTTAAGGGAAAGCAGGCAGAAGCAAACCAGCATGTTCAAAGTAATTCGAGCAACGTAAAATGTTCGCCCATTATTCAAAGAGCTTCCAATTACTTCTCTTGAGGCTGACGTGGACAATGTAACGCTTAGTAAGAAAATTATGCCTGTTTCAGTTTGTATTAGTCAGCGGAATCTTATCTTATCTCTATGAATATAAAACGAGCAACCTTGGGGAACTTAAAGCTGCACTAAGTATGGAATCTAGAAGGTTTATAGTAAGACGGTTATATAGAAGATCTTTTTGACAGACATGCAAACATATATCTTTAAGTTCTTGAGCTCGTAAATCAGCGAGAGTCTAGGTATATACATGGCCACGGCAAAGCAGGTCAAAAAAGAAGAAAGATTTCCAACCCTTAAAGCGCCTGAACGAATGGTTATAAAGGTGAATCCGGCACCTGATAACGAGGGTATATATAAAAAGGGATGCTCGTACATGATCTAATGCACGGCAGAAGAAGAGAAGATAAAACAAAAGGCAACAGAAATAGAAAATCAAAGGTAAAAGGTGAAAGATGGAAAGGTCAAGATGGGGAACCTCTGGATGGGCCCAAACGAAGGTAGAGAAGTAGAAAAGAAGAATAAAAGGCCATGAGAGCGTTAAGAGAGATGGTATAGGGGGGGAGAGAATGGTGGATCATCATCGTATGGCCGTATAGGGTATGATGGGGGGGGACAGTAAGGTATGGGCAAATGCCATCACTGTATCAAGGGCCTGCCTGAGCTCGACTCAAGAGGAGCTTTATCAGACCGAACTCGCGGTCTTTTTTACATTTTCATTTGGTTTTTGATGTTGTCATATTGCGATTGTGGGTAGTTGAGCTGGTTCTGGCTCTTGTCCATTTTCTCGCGGCCTCCAAGGCGCTCGATGACCTGTTTCACCACATATGTTAGTAATCGATTTTTCCGTATAATATGGGAAAGAGAGGGGTGGAACGTACAGTTTCAACAAGACTGCCTTCGCTCTTTGGCTTGTCGCCACTGGTCTCCCACCACATGGTGCCGCCGAGGCCCATTTGACGGAGATAGTTGGCCTTCATTCCAGCAATCTTAGGAGTATCGTAGCTGATGAAGAGCTTCTTGGCTGGGTCATAGCTGTAGCTGGCAACTTCCTGCTCACATTCTACAACCTTGGCGCCTGGTTGTGGGAGGGACTTGTAGTCCCAGATACCATTCTCGAAACTACCTTCGCCCACACCGCTGAATGAAGCACCTGGCTTCTCCTCGGTGCTGGTAAAGGCACGACCATAAAGAGGCATTCCGAGAACAATCTTCTCAGGCTTAACACCGGCCTTATAGTAAGCAAGGAGGGCATCTTGGGTATTGAACTTGGTAGCTGTCTTGTCAGTAGTAGAAGAGAAGAGGTTGGCACTGTGTCCAGAGGTTTGATCCCAGCCACCGGAGTAGTCATAGGACATCAAGTTCCAGAAGTCGAGGTATTTGTCCATTTCACCGAGTTTCATGACATTATAGTGCGAGGCGCCTGTAAGCGATTTTGTTAGACCTTCCACATACGAATTAAGAGTTTCAAGAAACATACCAGCTGGGGAGGCGACGGTGAGGAGATACTTGTATCCATCTCCAATAGACTTGGAGTACTCATCCAGTGCCTTGAGTACCCGTTAGCAAGGAGGACATGGACGTGTCTATCATTCAGAACATACCTTTCTAACTTCGGCAAGGAGCATGACAAAGTCTCCAGCCTGCTTCTCATCTGCAGGGTACTATATTTGCTCTTTCGTCAGTATATCTAATCTTTAAAGTGATTTTAATTTTGTTAGTGATGTTTACCTCCCAATCGACGTCAATGCCGTCAAAACCGTAGTCCGCAAGCATCTTGACAGCTGACTTGGCGAAGGTCTGGCGTCCAGTATCGGTGCTAGCAGGTCCACTGAATGATTCCTTGTAGGTCCATCCTCCAATGGAAACAAGGGTTTTCATCTGACGGTTCTTCTGCTTCATCAAGTACATCTGTTTAAGGGAGCCGAAGAGATTGTTGCCCTGAAGACTTTGATTATCCCCATCGTAGATTTTCTGAGTGTTGGAGGAGTCCTTAAAGAAGACCTCGCCCTCAGGGGATATGCCGGCAAAGGAGTAAAGGATATGAGTCCATTGGTCTCCCTCTAGATTCTGCGGATGGAAGTTGCGCCCATAGATGTCCTGATAATTGTACCCGTCAGTATGATTGCCAAAAGGAAGAATGTTTCCATTGGTATCCATATATGTTGACGTACCCAATCAGCATAGTACCCAACTGTCTTATAGCCACCGTTTGGCACAGGGCGGGAAGAGTCACCATTGGGGGTTGGTCTTGCAAAGACACCACCAATGTTAGCAAGGCAAGCCAGGCCTAGAGTAAGAGCAGAGAATAGCATGTTGAAGGAATGAAAATGTAAACTTTAAAAGGAAAAAAAGGAGTGTGGAAAGGAGATCAAGGCCTGCTTGTCCGATGGAATGATCTGATGTCCTCAGGATGCTTTGATCATGATCAAGAGCAAGAGTAGGAAAAGAGGGTTCCCGGCACAATTATTTATATCACGCTCCCGGCTTGGAGGAACGGAGGACATGGTCGAATATCCACGGGGAAGAATGAAACCCCTCTCGGCTCAGACCGAGAGTGCCGTATACTTACATCGCTGTCTGCTTATCGAACCATGCGTAAATGCATGCGGATGACAGTGGGCCTTCATCTATGCCTGTCCGCCCGCCCGTCCCAACGGGGATTGAGGAGAGTCTCTTGATTACTCTACTACTCTAGTAAGACCCGGCACAGAGTTATCTGCGCCATGGGGTGGATATGGAAGACATGGGGTAGTCAACTGTTAATTCGCGCGCCAATCAAGCGTCAAGGAATATAGATGAGCCAGGGCCCCAATGCCTCATCGGTTTCAAGCGAAGGGTCCTCCGAAGAGTGTGAAATTTGATTACTCCAATCCTCCGTGCATCCTGTCATAAAAAAGTGAATAACGGTGGGCGTAACGTATCCCATTATTGCGGAATCGAGCAAAGAAGCAGTCTACTGCGAGTGTGGTTTTCCTCGATAGTTGACTAGTTTGCTGCAGAGACGGATATAAATGGGACAAGAGCATCGAGCATACCCGTTCCGAAGAGGCGTACGTCACCGTTCCCAGGATATCATGGTCGGCTAGCCTTGAGAGAGGACGACTAATTGACTAGTCATCGCCAGAGTAACATTCTGGATGTGCAATGCAGTGTGCCTGGCCTGTGGGTTTGGGCGTATAAGCCTCGAACTTCCAGAAACCCCAGTCGAGTCTGCCCTCTCGCTCATGCCGTCCGGCGGGGCATGACGCTGTCTCTTTGCCTGTTGGACCATCCAAGCAATTGGGTTGGATGAAGGGGCCCCCTGCCGCAGGAACAAGCCCCAGGGCCGCCCCTGGCCTGGAGGAGCACACTGCCCCGGCTAAGTACACTGTCGGGCAAGGCGCAAGAGGGACTTTCGGGGGCCAAGCGCGAAAGATAGGCAGACGCAGCGTGGCCGAGGTCCCCCCAGGGCCCTGCATCTGCCGTACACCGACTCGTCATATGTATGCGGAATACGGTTCCTTCTGAGGGATGATGCAGTGCGAAGTTGACAATTTATCGCTAAGCTGCTGCTTATACTCAGTGAACGTCATCCATGCTGCAACGCTAGCGCTGGTGCGTCGGGCATAGGAATAAAGAGCATTGTTCCCCGCGAGACGAGAGTCTTGGACCTCTCTTTGTCTTTGTCAGGGGACGTCCAATTTCTCTTCCCCAGGGAAAGAAATGTATGGACTGTGCTCCGTAGGCTGTCAGTTAGATTGAGGGGAGGCTGCCTGCGTTACGAGCATAAAATCGACGATCCCCATTTCGTTTCACCTTTCGCCCGAAGGAAGGGATCGATATAAAATATAGCCCGCCCTCGTTTCCTCAAGACGAGGGACATAAAAGGCACGCCTTGTGGTAGGCTGTAGACGACCGGCCCTCTCGCGTCTTCAGTCCACACAGCAGGCACCAAGCCTGCTGAACGGCCAACCGTTGGCTGACCAAATTCGTATAGCCAATATTCATGATAGGCTGGACAGTCTGTCCTCGCAGATCCAAAGAGGGCACATCCTTGCCATGGCCCGAGGATTATTTGAGGGATTACGATCTGCAGGAAATAAGAAGTTGATATGTTTCGTTCTTCGGAGTCTCTCGCTCGATTGTAGCATGTTAATAATATATCCAGCTCAATTAAAGCCAGGCATCCCCAAGAGACGAATAGTAAGCGAGAGGGACCGTCCTCTGCGATTCAAATTCTGGCCAGCGAGAGGTTAGGCTCGTGTAATTAAAGCCTCTTGAAGACCGTGTCAGAGGTGGTTTGTGAGAGGCGTATTTGGTATAACTATAGAGGAGGGTACTCCGTAATTCCAACCAAATTAGCAGTGATGCCTGTTGTCATCAATCACTCAATGGCTATTCGTGTATGCCGATACTCGCACAGAAGACACAAATTTTCGAGGTCTAAGACAGGACTTCATAGACGCAAGATCCCTAGACCTGCGTCTTGTAAGAGGATCATGCTGCAGCGGATTTTATAACTAGTTGCTGCGCGCCGGCTATATCTAGCTGAAGACTTAATAAGTACTCTGCAGCGGCAGTAAGATGACTGAGCAACGGTCGCTTGAACCCCTGTTAGAACAAGCTCAGCCTTCTTGCAGGTGGGCAGGAGGAAGAAGAAGATCGATCAGACGATGGATGTTGTGATGCCAGAAAGAAACATCCTGTCTCCTGTAACATGTTATATTTGACAGTTGACGCTCAGGGACTGTTCATCTGCCTGGAAATGTCTTATTAGACCACCCGCCACGGGAGAGGAGAGATCGACTCTTAGTTACCACACCTGTTCCTCTCCAAATTGGTTTTTTTTTTTATTTCGTCTTGGAGGAAGATCCTAGTTATTCGCTGGAGTCCAAGTGGAAACTATGAAAAGCTCATCCCCAGGTTTATCTTAAATAAAAGCAAAGAAAAAAAAAAGTAAAGAAAAGAAATCAAGCGCTTTTCATCTCGTTAACTAACAGTCGTCCCAGGTTTGCATATTCCGGAGCACACATCCCTTATCATCTCCATCGGCCTTAGCAGCCAACTTTCCGATAACATAGACTGTCTCATTGAGCTCTTCAAGATACTTCTTGATACCAGCGGATTGAGACTCGTCAACCACGACGACCATGCCAATACCGTTGTTGAATGCCCTCGCCATCTCTGACCCTGTTACGTTGCCGGTCTTTTTCAACCACTTGAAGACGTCGGGTAGAGGCCAGGAGGAAATGTCGATGTCAGCCTGAAGGTTCTTGGGCAGAACACGAGGTATGTTCTCGGCCAGGCCGCCGCCGGTGATATGTGCCATACCCTTGACTGCTCCCTGAGGGAACTTGGTTATAGTAGCGAGTAGCTGCTTGACGTAGATGCGTGTTGGGGTGAGCAGGGCTGTACCCAAGTTCGCGCACTCTTTACCCATTTTGAACGGTGCAGGGTCGTGATAAGAGAGTCCCGACTTCTCCACAATCTTCCGGATGAGTGAGAAACCATTTGAATGTGGCCCGCTGCTGCCGATACCAAGAAGCACGTCACCAGGCTTCATTCCCTCTGTGTCTGGAAGTAGACGATTTTTGGAGGTGTCGATAGCACCAATAGCAGCTCCAGCAGCATCGTAGCTGTTGTCGGTAAAAAGACCAGGCATCTCCGCAGTCTCACCTCCAACTAGAGCACAACCGGATTCCACACATCCGTCGGCAACACCAGCAACAAATGCGGCCGCAACTTCGACCTCAAGTTTCCCGCAGCTATAGCAGTCGAGGAACATAAGGGGCTCAGCACCTTGTACCACCAGGTCATTGACATTCATAGCGACAAGGTCAATGCCCACTGTGTTGTGAATGCCCATTTCATGGGCGATCTTAAGCTTGGTGCCAACTCCATCAATCGCTCCAATGAGAGTTGGAGAGAATTCATGGAAGCCAGATTTGCATGATGATAAGGAGAATGCACCTCCAAATCCACCGATGATGGCGTCAGATCCGGGCCGGCGAGTTCGAGCCACGTTAGCCTTGATTTGGTTGACAAGTTCATTGCCGGCATCAATGGAGACACCCGCTGAGGCGTATGTTAGTGATTCTTGGGTATTTGATGTCTTTGATGAGGTTTTAAACGCGCGATGGGCAATGTCCTTTCTATAATGCATGCCATCAAAGTGAATTGTGGAGATGCCGGAGTACGACGCCTTTACGGCTTCTTCAAGAGTGTCTGCTGTTGCAGTCGCAGCTATGACTCGCCCGCCAGAGGTCTTGAGCTTGCCGTCTGCAAGCGTGGTACCGGCGTGGAAGATCAAGGTACTGTCTGCAGTCTTGTCGAATGTGATATCTCTACCTTTTGCGTAAGACCCGGGGTAGCCCTCAGCCACAGCAATGACAGTGGCGGACGACTTAGACTCTACCTTGAGAGTTACTCCATCAAGCCAGTGTTCTGTACAGGCAACCATGACTTCAGCTAAATCAGTGTCATCACTCAAAAGTGGCAGTAACGTTTGAGTCTCTGGGTCTCCTCCTCTGACATTGTACTCCAATACCTTAGGCCCGCTCTTGGTCATCATTAACCCGGTAAACAGTATTCCAACAAACGGTGTGCCTAGAAGGCATTAGTTGACTATCTCAACGACCAGAGGGGGGTATATTACCATACCTTCCTTCCTCATCCCGTCAATAGTAGGCAGGACAATAGTTCTATCAATAGCCTCGATAACAGCCTTGGAGGCAATTCGGGTGGGGGCGTAGCATCCCATACCACCAGTATTGGGACCCTGGTCACCATCAAATACCCTCTTGTGGTCCTGGGCAGGAGGCAACGATCTGATGGTGTAACCGTCTGAGAAGGTGAGAATACTAAGCTCATCACCCTCAAGATATTCCTCAATCACAACTTCATCGCCTGCATCTCCGAACTGGTGGTCCACCATAATTTCCTTGAGGGCCTTGAGTGCCTCCTCCTTGTTTTGGGGGATAATGACACCTTTACCAGCGGCGAGTCCGCTAGCCTTGATAACAACGTCATGGTCAACAGAATCAAGATACTGACAGGCGGCCTTGTAATCGGTGAAGTTTCCATATCGAGCTGTTGGGATGTTATGGCGCTTCATAAAGTCTTTTGAGAAGGCTTTGGACCCTTCCATACGAGCAGCAGCCTTAGAAGGCCCAAAACATCTAATGCCGACTAGGAACTATATCAGCTACGGCCGTGATCCAAAATATTTGTAGAATATAACTTACCGGCCTGGAAGTATCCCTGAATGCCATCAACAAGGGGAGCTTCTGGACCGGGAACAACAAGGTTGACCCCATTCTCTTTGGCGAACACTACCAGTCCCTGGTAATCGTCCCCTTTGACGGAGATATTGGACATTTTGGAGGAAGCTCCTCCATCTGTACCGCCATTTCCAGGGGCGCAGAAGACCTTCTCTACCGAGGGGGAATGACTCAGCTTCCATGCATATGCATGTTCACGCCCACCGCTGCCAACGACAAGGACGCGAAGCTTTTCTTGTAGCATCTTGGGCTATTCGAGGTTTTAGACCGGCTATGAATATGTTAGTATATCTGGTGCCGGAAGCTCAATTGCGGGCTATGACGGGATAGCTAGCGGAGTCCCACTGCCGGAGGGTATCAAATTATTAGAGGAATCGCCTTCAACGCAACAAGCCTCTCACTCGCTCAAGAATGAACAAATGGACTAGTAATGTATCCTGGATGTGGATTACAGCCCTAGCAACCGTTGAGAGCATCTCGTGGCGCTTGATATCATGGTGATCGAATACACCGCGGGGCATGGAGGGGCTTATCACAGAGTAACACCGCAGAAAACGGAGGCGAAAAGCAGGTCGAAAACATATTATGGAAGCGTACACTTACAATTCGTCCCAGTCAGACCATAAAAAATCCCCTGATATCAGGTCTTTTACCTGGTTATTAGCACTGGATATGAAGAAATGCGACGATTTTCGACTTGTTTCTTCCCCTTGAAAGCTGCAAAGTTTTTCCGCGAGGTTTTTTTAGAGTTTGGGGTTCCACCAAAGTTTGCGGCTCCTTTTTGATACTATTTTTGACGACTTCCAATGTCTATGCCGGCAGACTCAGCAGCATTGAGATGGACGAAAGGTGTATCTAGGTGGGCAGATATAGCTGGAAACGGAGAAGTCTGGTATAATATTGTCTGGAAGGCCGGGCTGTCGAGTCATCAGCTGGTTAGACGCAACTTTTGACAACTAGTTAGTGAAGCTGGTTATTTACAGACAAGACTGCCATTTTACAGATTATATGACGAAATAGGGTCCAATCTCGTCGTCAAAAACTACAATTAAACAAGGGCATTTATCTTCATCTTGCCGTCGCTCAAATCGTTTCTATTTCTATTTTTATTTTATTTTTTATTTTTATTTTTTACTTTTTTATATCGACTTTGCCAGAGAGTGCAAACAGTGCAAACACAAAGCTCTCCAGAACTTTTTTTCGAGCTTTTCTTCAATGCAAAACAAAATCTCGACTTTCTCCACGCTTCGGCTCTCTTAATTCTCTGCCTTTTCTTTTGATATTGTATAGCTCTTGGATGGGTTCTTCTTGTCGGTGACTTTTCTCTCTGTGACGCGCCTTTTTCCCCGTTGGATATAGTGTTCTCGTTATTTTTTGGTCGATGAAAAATACCCTCCTCTAGATACGGCGCTTAATCTTGACTGCAATGCTGTCTAGGTCGATAAGACGACCAATATGCTCCTACGTTTGTCAATCATGTCTGTCTAGAAGAATTACACCCTCCTCTACCGTTATACGCCGTCACAACCATGCCACGCTCCCCATACAACCGGACGCATCCTCCCAGTCCAACAGCATCGAAGTAAAACCGAATGAGGGTGGAAGCAATGAAGGATCAGGAGCTGAGAAATCTTCCGGTGGTAAAAAGAAGGGGAAGGGGAAAGAGAAGGGGGATGCGAATAAGGTACGTCGCTATCTATCACATTACACCGTTTAATTGACCGTCCGGCAAGCTGACCTGTGTATAATCTCCAGGCAAGCAAATCTAGCAAAGATGTACCATTGACGCAGTCGGCGAATACGCAAATTGCCCCGGAGGTAGAAGCGAAACCTGCCAAAACCCGAAAATCAAAGTCGAAGGCACGGAAGAAAAAGGCTGCAGCGCAGGCCAAAAATCTGGCTAATCTGGCTGGCACCTCGGATGAAAATATAAAGAACATGATTCTAATTCAGCAAAAATCAAAACTTCGACTGAAAAAGGTATGGGAGGCTCCATTTTTACCCATTACATTAGGCCCGTCTGATTACGTCTGCCTCATTAGCTTCGGCCCAGCAAAGTCATAGCGGCCCTCAACCTCGCAGCACAGAATGGAAAGTCAAAGTCTGGCAAAGCGGCCAAGGGTGGTCTAGATGAGTTTGCTCCAGTGAGGTCTGCATCTCCAAAGCTCACAAGCGAGGTTACTCTTGGGGACATTGAGATACTCCGTGAGTTGGTTCCATTCTAGTATTTATGTTCTTATCTAACGTTTTCCTTTGCTTCTCCTGTTTAGCTTTGAATACTGAATCGGATGATGTCCCCTCCCTATCGTATGGATTGGACAGGGTATTATTCAAGTATGTCTGTATTCTACTCCTCCATCAATACGTTCAGCTAACCTAGACTAGCCCTGGAGTTTATCAATTACAGGATCCTAGGACGATGGTTTATAACTTTGACCCGTACCTTCGCGATATAATGCCCGTTTCCGAGTTCGACTTCAAAGCCTTGAACGACTACATTACATCGTCGAAGGATACCGTCCTCAAGGACAAAGCAATTGCGGCCGGCAAAAAATACATTGGATCTTCATCTAGCATGACCGGTGTACTTTCACACTTCCATTTCTTACTATCCGAATGGCGAGAGCTCAACACATCTCATTTGTCGAACTCTTTCCCGGCCACCTCGAAAACCTACACAAAGCTTTCTCGGCTCCCAGCAGTCGTTTTTCTGCGGTACAGAGATGGGGTCTATGCTGTCGACGCTGATAAAGAATGGGACACTTCCAATGTTTTGATGGGATTAGGGAAGTCCATGGAGAAATTGCTCACCATACCTAGAGACCAGTACGAACGCTACCGGAGGAATAGCCCGGATAAGATACTGAAAGAGGACTCTCCTCCCGAGGTGTACCACTATTCAACCTGTGGTGATTTCTTGATGAGATCCCAACTTGATGCATATGATCCTCGTCTTCCCGGTACTGGAATGTTTGATCTGAAAACCCGTGCGGTAGTTTCAATTCGCATGGATGCAAGAGAGCCATGGAATGCTATGGGATATCAGATAAAAACCCGCCTGGGAGACTTTGAGTCTTTTGAGCGCGAATACTACGACATGATGCGATCTGCATTCTTGAAGTATCACCTTCAGGTCCGTATTGGCAGAATGGATGGGATATTTGTTGCTTTCCATAATATCAAACGAATATTTGGATTCCAGTATATCAGCTTACCCGAGATGGACAAGTGTATCCATGGTCAAGAGGATACAGCCCTCGGCGATGCAGAGTTCAAACTCAGTCTCAACATCTGGAATAAAGTCATAGACGTGGCTACTGAGGCATTTCCTAAGCAGTCGCTGAGGTTTCACTTTGATACCCGAGAAACGCAAAATCCATTTATGTACATTTTTGCGGAGCCCATGACAGAAGATGAAATAACGAAGATCCAGGAAAGAAACCTCGATGAGATCCAGGCTTACGAGAAGAGGGTGTTCTACCCTGAGCTCCTTGAATCTCAGCAGCTGGATTCCTCGATTAGCGAAGCTGACAATCCCACCAAGCAAGAGCCAGAGTCGAAAGAGTCCGCCTCTGAGGATGACATAGATCCTGAAAAGCCTTTACTCGCCATGGCACTATCAATTCGCAATTTTGTCAACGGCAAGGAAGTGGACAGGCCCACCATGTTCACTGCCAAGGACACATGGACTGTGAAATATCAGCTTGCCCATTTTGGTAAGGAACGAGGATGGACGCTGTATAATGCATGTAAGAAACGGCGATCGAGGTTCCTTGGAGCATTAGAGGACGAAGAAGCGCCGAACTCGGCCTTCAAAGAGAGATTGAACGCGATCAGTAAAGAGGGACAGAAATGGAGAGACGAGATGGATAAAATCGAGAAAGCAAAGGGAATTATTCAATACCAAGGCTAGACCCTATACTCGATTTCCCGTATATACCCCTTTCTGAGTTCAGTTAATTTGTTATCAACACTGGCAGACCTTCGGTTCCTTTCTTCAGTCTTTTCCCTTCTTCTTCTGAAGCAAAGAGCCTACTTGTGTTATGTTCTACTCTCCCGTTGCTGATATTTTGCATCTGATTCCCCTATACCACCATTACTCCCTGCATATACGGCGTTTATGAACCCTTTATAGATCAGGCATGTGGAATGATATGAAAACATATGTATTATTATTATCATTATGCCCTCGCGGCCATCTCAATATTTTGGTATTATAACCCAGAAAGCATTTTATCTCCCTGAAATGGAACCTCCTATTGCACAATTCAACTCGGTATGACTCTTTTTCCAGGCTTCACGTTCCCAAGTGCCTATCCGTTGCTCTCTTTTCAAGTGTGGACGCCCACCGAGCGCCTAGCAGGCCGTATCTAGGTCAGAAGTACTATATATCCAGAGTTTTAGGCATCCATGGTGCTCGGTTGATGGGGCGCCTTACTATTAGACAGGAAGGACTGACCGAGGGGTTTGCCGGGCTTCCTGCGTTTTCATAATCGCTACATAGTATATATATATATATATATGTTTATAATTGATTGTATTGAGGCTGATGTCAAGATAGCCTGCAAGTGCCCCTGTGTGAAGCTGCGATTGTATCACCAATTACGACAATTGAAAGGCCTCGAAGCCGATCGATCTTCCATGAGAAACATATATAAAGAAATCAAATCCCACATGATAAACCCTAGTTTGAAGAGGTAATGAATCAAGTTGCTTGTAATTGAAAGGACAACATCTCCGCGACAACCTTCTGCGACGTGCGTGTTATATTTCTGAAACTCCCTCAAATTGGTTATTCTTATAAGTACCGCTACTGACTGATAATATTTCTAAAGATCATTGTTGGCTAGTCATAATTTTGACAGGATGCGATATCATTCAAAACACCATCCTACTTCATTTATAGGTACTGCGCGTGAATCACCATTCCGCCTATCCATCTATCTGACTGCCAATTATATAGTTACCCGACATCAAATTATAGATGAACTAAGATTCCTAGCTTGCACTAACTCACGGATTAGCCGCTATAATTATCCAGAACAGTTGCTTAGGTGTACTCAGGGAAAATGTAGGGGTACCTGCAGGAAACATTTCCGAAGATCTAGGGGCCCTTCCAACCAACACAGCTTCCGCGAATTGGGTTGCAGTCACAGCCGGATGCGCAGTCCGCCCTGCTCTTGCATCTTCCTCTACACTCGGGGCGAGGGTCGCCTGGAAGGGGAGCATGACGCTGGTTGGGAGATTGCTGGATATCAGCATTTTCCTGTATGGGCATTGGGCCAGCGATGACGACTGGCAAGATAGCAGCCAGGAGCCCGGTTGAAAGGATGCTGATGAACTTCATCGTGATGTGGTTGATATCTAAATCTTTGTGTTAGGTCACGAAGAAGTAGAGGTAAACGAAATGAAGGGAGCACACGCACAGAATAAGTTGGATTATAGCTTGCAGTAATAACTTGGATGCGGGTGAATGAACACTCAAATGAATGTATAGTGCCTGTGACGGATTGACCCCTTTATATATGTTGTCGCCCTCATACGGTATTGCAGCAGGCAGGACGGGTTAGCATGACCACACCGCGGCCGTAAACGCAAGCAGACTTCTGTGAAGGCAACAATCTTCAAGATAGATCGCTAGATGAGAGCTATTTTCTACCCGTCTCGGCTCCTGTCTTGTCGGGCGACGAGCAAGACGATCTTCTGTTAAAGAAAAACGTCAATCGGGCGACTGAGGCCACAATGAGCGCAGTACTCAGAGCTTCCTTCACCGTCTAAGGAGCATACAACAACTCACGAATAATCGGGGGCACAGCATGGCTCTGCAAGTAGCTAGAGTTCTGGGTATCACGCAGTCATCTGATTAATGTGATATGGCGAGTATGCTGCCGGGTATCTCTGAATAGGGGGTGAGTAGTGTCACAAATCGCAGCGCCCCCCAAAAAGCGACTGATGAAGAAAATAACTGTCATAGCAAATCGATGAAATATTTGATACACCAGAGCTGGACGTGCTAGAAGCAGACCAGTGATTCCTGGAACTGCAGACCGACCTAGAAACCATAGGATACTCTCTTTTGATGCACGAAGATGGAAATGTGTTGATAGCCACCACCATGGCCAAATCCGGACATCTAACAAAGCGGATGATAGCGGTGTCCAGCATTATGGCCAACCTGCTGGTGGCTGATCCGGACAGATTGGATGAGGACTTTTCTATATTCCTCATGCCTTCTTTGCGTTCTTCACCATGGATTGATTTATCCGCATGTAGCACTATGCTACTAGTTGCACCGAAAGCCGCGGATATTCGCGTAATTAGTATCAAGTTTTAGTTCGCTTTCATTTATCTCATCATATATATGGACTTCAATATATTAATCAAGGGAGGTGAGCTCAATCGAGCAGTCCCTGAGTAGATGCTATCAGGCGGTAGAATTGCTCCTTCAGCGGCAGCATCATTACTCGCTATCACTTCCAATTTCTAGGAAACCCGGAGAAAGTGCATGGGCGGCTCCTGGAGAGCATCACCTGTGCCAGCACAATTGGCGGCACTTTGACGACGGAACTACCTTGGTACTTCGGGCTATGTATGTATGTTGGACATAAAGCTTCTGAAGAGAGACATGCAGGATGGTCACATCGCGAAAGGATCACCAACACCTCTCTCCCGTCTCGGGACCGAGCTAGTTCAAAGAGCTCGCTTCACCCTGCTATGTTTTCCATCTTCGACTCCATTCTGCGAGTGTTGGCATTCATGCAATGTCCGGGGGAAGAAGCAGGAAGTTGCTTTGCTTTTTTTTTTTCTCCTCAGAAAAGCCCTTCACCTAAATGATTCTCATTCAAAGGGTCTACTTATCGAGGGATTGGTGTACTCCGTACTCCGAAGCAAAAGACTCCTATCAAATCATCATTTCTGGACTGTGTGGCCCATAGTGATGTGGAATTGATGGACTTTTCAGGACTATTTTCTCCATCCGATCACCTCACCCGCTTCATCAACATGGCCAACTATATGGATCAAGTGTGACAGTTCAGCTTTGGCCCAAAAAGGACGGTCAAGACGCGCGCCCTTGCTGCTGCTCCATCTGCTCCCCCTGTCGATATGAGTGAACCCTTGTTAATTTCACTGCCAACCAGCTTATTTTTCGCCTTCATTTCCACGGCCCCCGAGGAAAGAAAGTACGAGAAAATTCCCTTCTTCTTCTGTGAAATCATAGCGAGAGATCCCAATAGGCCTTCTTACCCCATCTTTCTTTCCAGGAAGCATGCTTGCTTCGCGAAATTGCTGCTGGGATGACAAGCTTTTCCATCTTCAGGCGATTCGGTAATATCAGTCAAGGATCGCAGCTATTGCCAGGGGGTGAAAGAGGAGCAAAAATCCCCACAGGCCAATTTAACCCCACAAATCGTCAAATATAATGTCGGCAATCTCTGTCACCAGACAGAACCTGTAATCTCAGGAGCTGGAGGTATACAGGCTGGGTGAAGATGCGTATCCTCAGCGGCGAAACCCCAGGGCCTCGGGGACAGAGCCGACTTCAGCCCTATCCACAGAAACAACTTACTTAATTTATCCTTGGGGACGAGGCAGATGTTTTGTGAAGCAGAAAGGGTTCCATCTCGATGCTGATGGTGCCTTAGGAGAAATAAAAACGCCTCCATCTGCAAGCTACTACTGACGAAGGCACTCGACCGACCTTATCACAAAATTTCCAACTCTCGTCTTCCCCTTTCCCGCCTGCTAGGTTGCAATCTTCCGGAAGAGAGGACAGCTAGAGCCGCCATGGCACTCCGTTCAACAGTGTTAAGTTATCGAGGCAATTTTTAGCCCCGATCCCGCCTAACTTCTGGTTGCTTCTTTCAAGAATCTCCCTTAATATATACAAAAAAAGGGGGATTGGCGAGTTCCAATTTGCCACGATTGCGGCCAAGAGACAAAAGTGCTGCTTGGGGTGAGCCGCTAGTATCGTATTGATCTCATCGCAGTTGTTTGTGATTCGAGGAAATTGGCCATTTTTCTTCTTTCTCCTGATGGAAAAACGGGATAACTTCCCCCTCACTGCAACCACCTGTGTTTTTGTGGCACAGAAGTTATACGTGTGCATGTACCAATGTACGCTGATAGTATAACTCTATGCTGGCTGGAAAAAGCAGTAACCTTTAAAAACTGGGGACCCTGGCCAGTTTTAAGGTTGCCCAAAAGCCAGCGATATTATTTTGGATTTCGATTTTCATGCTTGAGTTTTAAGTAAGAGGGAGCTTGTTGCTTGGAAAAACTCAGGACGGAGCTTCCCGTGGAACCTCCGTGGCATAAACCGATCATGTCCGATAGGGAGGGGAGTCCGATTCTGCGGTTTGCCGTAATATGAGTAACGACGGAGGTTTAAGCATTGGGGCTTTCGAAGTGAACCAGCCATGTGCCTAAACGAAGTTGGCAGCACCACCCAAACGTCCTGGCGTTTCTCGACAGCAGGCCAGATATTGTTTCTTCTGACAGAAAACGACGTACCAATGCACAGGGGCCATCCTAGCACGAATGACACGCTCCTGTTCTGTGCGACTTGGAGTTCCCAAGGGCCAGCGAGTTGCAGGGATGCTGCAGAGGGTACAATTGACATCATGTGGCTCCACATTGAGGACCTCCTTTTTCTTTTCTTCTCTGGCTATGATGTGTAGTAGACCCGCTTCGTCCCAAGCTCACGAACTTGACTGTGAGATCAAGTTTGGATGCTGCCTTGCTGGATAGCTGTCAAAATACGGGTGGTGTCTGTCTTGTCATCATTGAGGCAAATACTCCGTACTCTGCAGAGCATCTTCGTATCTGGCTGTAGTGTTTTGACCTCCTTTTTTTTCACGCAGACGACGTAGGGATACCGCCGGCAAAGTAGCCAGGCCAGATACATATACTTACAATACCGATGCATCCGCGCCAGCCCACGGACGGAGGAGATCAAACTCAATTCCCCTTTCCAAGCTAAACTAGCTAGTCCGTTAGCTAACTAGTTAGTTAGCGGACGGTCACTTTTTTAGATGGATCGGAGTGAGATCGCGGATTTGTTGTCCCGAACAGACTTCTGGGATGGCATGCATGAAATTGGGGCCTTGGCCGTAAGTTCCCGAGATCTCAACTTGCATCTGGAAGGCCTCGCCTCCTGGATTGGTTGCTGATGCTCTGCTTGTCATGTCGTTTTCTGATGGTCCCTCTGGTTGGGAGCTCGCTTGCTTGCGCTGGCAGGAGACTGACTTCCTCCGTTCGGGTACATGTCCGGGTTGAATAGTATTATTATTGCTCGCTCCCAGCAGCACCAAGGCATGCCCGGTGGAGTCCTCTGTCAAGTCACCTCTTAACCCGGTAGCTTGCTGGTACGGAGTTTGTATTTTGTAGTTTTTTTTTTTTTTTTTCACTTTTTTCTTTTCCAAATCTTGAAGCCGGAGTGGCTGAACCGGTGCGTGGATGGAGCTTGAGACATGCCCCGTTGGCGGCTTCATCTTCATCAATATAGCAATCATCCTCGTCTCTCCGTCTCTCTTTTTTTCTCTTGTCCCGTTTTCCTTTTTTGCGTCTTTTCTGTCTCTTCTTCCCCCCGTTCTTTTTTTAAGCCTCTTCACGGTCTCATTCGTCTTTCTCTCTCTCTGCGTGTGTGTGTGTTGTGTCGTGTTTGTCTGCCCCCTTGTCTACCTGCAGGGGTTTCGTATAATATCCTATCTCCGTGGGCTTCACGTTGAGATATCTCTCAAACAGCGAACGCTTTCCCTGTCCAGGTACATAGCAGTAGCGGATGAGGTGGCTGATTTCACCGCAATGCTTGTACCTTCTGTAGACCTGTTGATCTGTTGATCCTGCATCCCGTCCGAAGCTCGAGAGAAAAACCGGCCGCCTGAGAGACAGAGGAGGAGGACGAGAGCTGTCCAGATCGTGTTTCGAGGCCCGCGAGAGGCAGCAGAAGACGCAGACGCAGACGCAGAAACCGCCTCCTGCTCGCCGTCTCAGGCTCTCAGCGATGAGCTGCTGCTAAAACAAAAGCTCCGCCGGCTGTATCATACGAGAAGATCGATTTCAGCAGGCCTCATCCCCGGCGTTTCTTTTTCCTCTGCCTCTTCGTCTCTCGCTCGCTCGCATCGTCGCCTGTTTCCCTCCCGTTGCCTCTCTGGCTGCTTTCTTTTTCCTCCAGCTATTCCTTTTCTTTTTTTCTTTTCCTTGAAACCCGCGCTGGGTTGGCCTCGTCGTCGAAGAAGCAGAGCTGCAGCAGCGTCGCGGCGCCATGGCTGAACGGTCGAAGAAGCAAAGAAGGAAGAGTTTTGGCGTGTTTGGGTCCACTGGGCTATTGTCTCTGGAGTCCGCCTCACCCGTCGCCAGCTCTCGACTGCTGCGCGCCGGAGACCGGGCCTCTTGCGATGCATTAACGCTGGCTCGATATTACGGCGAGCGTCGCGGACAAGCGGATGTGCTGGATTCTGCGGCCGGAGCCCTCGACCAGGACGACAGCCACCTGCGACATCTCGACGGCCGGCCTCCACCTCACTACCTCGACCACGACCACCACGACCACAACCACAACCACCAACACCACCGCCGCTGGCAGCAGCAGCAGCAGCAGCAGCAGCAGCAGCAGCAGCCATTGTCATGGGCCAGCAGCAGCAGTAAGGAGGACGAGAAGCTTCGAAACAGGAAAACACGCTCGGGAAGCAGATCCTCGCTGCGGAGCCTGGCGTTTGTCAGGCCGCGTCCAACCAGCAGCGCCGGCGAGATGAAGACGGCCACAATGACCACCACAACCACCACCGCTACAGCTACCACGACAGGCACCAGGCAGAGATTGTCAAAGGCCACGGCGAGGCCTCTGTCCTATTCACCCTCGCTGCCCTTCCAGGAGGACGAGCTCAGCCTGCCAAACTTCACGCTGCCGCACTCTGCCACCGAACCCAATATTCGCTCGCGGGCAAAGTCTGTCAGCCGCACTCTGGGCCGGAGCTCTGTCTTTGGCTCTCTGAGATCCCTCAAGTCCATGGATGACGACCAGAATTCGACCAGGACGAGATCCAGGTCGACGTCCAGCAACGAAGATGACCTCCCCATCATGCGGGAAGCTGGCAATTCCCGCGTCCACAAGCTGCAGCAGCTGCAGCACCACAACAGCAACATTAACAACAACAACAACAACAACCCGCCACTGGTAAACCGGAGTTTTGGCATAAAGGTTCTGCATCACGGCGAAGTGCAGACTGCAGGGGCAATGTGGCGGAAGAGAAGCCATTATCTCGTCCTGACCGAGTCTCACCTCGTCCGTTTCAAGAGCCAGAGCAAGGCAGCCGAAGTCTTCCCTTCTATACCGTCGTCCTGGGGCCGGAGTGCTGGCGCAGCAGCAGCGTCAAACCGGCTTTCCATGGTCTCTCTTGCATCTCTACACGAAAACCAGCTCACAGGAGGAGCAGCGGCACTTGGAGGTGGCGGAGAGGGCGGGATAGGCATTGCCCTGAACAACATCATAGCTGTCCACCGGCTGGATGACGGGAAACCGTATTTCTCAGTCGAAGTGTGCTACGTAGACGAGAAGAACCCCCGAGGCTCGGCTATCCACATCCAGTTTGCTGACCCGCAGGAAGCACAACTATGGCTGATGGGCATTCGGGCAGCCGCAGAGACTGCCATATCAATTGAGCCACCCGTTTTTGACGATGACACGATCAACTATGTCACGAACGTCTTGGAGCAGGAGAGAGATTACGATCCAGGTTGCTTTGGACTATATAGAGTCGTCCACCGGATGTCCACCAAGCAAGGTAACCGCGCGTCAACAGACGATATTACAAAACTCGCGTCAAACACCTGTCTCCTTGCCATTGGAGTCCATAAAATTCATATCTTACCTACCAACACCAAATCATCCAATAGAGCTTCTATGGCATCATTGGTTGAGCTGGATTTAGATGCGTGTCTAGGAATAATGGCTCTATCCTCTATCTCAGTGCAAGCCAGCGACGATACCTTTCAATTGATTTTCAGGTAAGTATACCTACTTGTTACAAAGCATCTACTACTATCATACTCGCTTTCCCGCCTTTTCAAAGCTAGGCTAAATGTTCCTCTAGGATACCTTTTAAAAGCCCGTCAATAGTCAATCTATCTTCAAGCTACTCAGGCGAGATTGCACTATTCCTGAGACAACGAGCAGAGTACCTAAGGCCTGGATGGATACATCAACCTTTTGCCTTTAATGTGCCCCCTCACGTCCAGGCTCGGGTAATGCCGCCACTTACTTTCGAGGAGGACTATGGATGCTTTGACCGGACTCTTATTGCTTATTGCGCCGCATACGATGTCGATACCTCGAAGATCCGCTACATGGTAGACTACCACTGTGAAGATGCGCCAGCATTTCAACTACTCCCGCGGGAAGGTTGCCCAGATGGAGGAGGATATCTGCTTCTGGAACTACTTGCCGTTTTCCGTGCGCTACGATATAACGAATCATTCGCCACTATCTCATTTGCGCGCGTCAACCTGGATATCCTTCAACAAATGCGCGACCCTTACGGACCGGATTTTGACGCCATGCGCACTAGATCGAATGTGGCGGTACATATCCCCGGACAAGAGGAAATTGCCTCGCTAACCCAGGAGGTACGGGCCCTAGCTCTCAAGAGCAGAACGTTACAGCGCATGGACTTCTCATACTGCTTGACCCGCTCCGCAAAGGCGGCTGGGGGTGAGCGCGACCCTGGATGTGGTATTCCAGAGGCCGTCTTCCCCCTGTGCCGACGCAACCTAACCCGGGTAGACTGGCTTGCTCTCAATGGAATAGAGCTTGGCGACTCGGATCTGGATTATCTTGTCGATGCAGCGTCTCAGAAGGCTTCGGCACTCCGAGCCTTTGAAGCGAACAACTGTGGCTTGCAGGTCCATGATCTGAACCTGATTTTGTCCACCCTCCGAATCCAGAAGGACACCCTCAAATGCTTACAGATTTCGAATATTGTTGGGCGACTGAGTCCAGACCAGTTCCAACAGCAGGCTGGCTGCCTGAGAAATATCCGGAAGCTTGAGCTTTCTCAGGTTTTGCGGACCTCAAAGAGTGAACCTCTCCTTTCGGCTGAGACATTGCTGAACTGGGAACTGGAGGAACTATGTCTGAACAATACTACGGTCAACGAGCAGACGGTGGAGTCGATTGCAATGTACCTTGCTAGCCCGGAATCCAAGAACCTTCGTGAGCTGCACCTGAACCAATGTGGAATTACTGGGGGGGATGTCGCTACGTTGCTGTATTTCATGGTTGATGAGGAATTAAAGCCTCGCGATATACACTTGCATGTAAACGACAACCGGCTGGCCATTGACTGCGACCTTATGTTCGCTTCAATATCGCAGAACCGGACCCCAACTCATCTCACGATGAGAAGCATAGAGTTTCAGCGTGATGAGGACTTCAGGCATTTGGTGGAGGCGCTTGTTCAGAACAATACCTTGCGGTATCTTGACATCTCTAGGCTCTCTATCCCTCACGATGCCGGTGCGGAGACCTCCAAGGCCCTCCAGAGAATGTTTGAGCAAAACTCCGCCATCCAAGAACTTGACATCAGCAGCGAACAGGCTCATCTTGACGTAAGCAGGTTTGGAATTGGATTGAATCTTGCCCTGACGGGATTAAAGAAGAACAATACCCTGAAGGTACTGAAGATTGAGCACCAGAAGCTAGGTGTTCAGGGGGCAAACACACTTGCGTCTGTAATCGAAGAGAATAATTCGTTGGTTGAGATACATTGTGAAAACAACGAGATCAACCTGCAGGCATTCACCATTATAGTCAATGCTATACAGAAGAATAAGACCCTGTTACACGTTCCGTCAATGGCAAGCGACTGCAAACGATCTCTTGCACGAGTCCAACGGGAAATGGAAGCCGACGTGAAAGAAACTGGGCTCCGGTCGAGTCTCTCTACTGCATCTTCGATTCGTCGATCTGTGCGTGCGGCATTCTCAGGCTCTTACAGTAGCAGCGGTAGCAGCAACAGTGGCGGCAATAAGTTGGTCAAGTCGCACCCTTCGGTATCACAAGGGGGAGCCTCCCCTGGTGTTCGTCGCGCATCATCTGCCACTCTCGGAGCTATGAATTGTGTACAACCCGGCATGGTAGCGTCTGCAACCGTACCCCAGTTCACCCGGCCAGAGATCAAATTCGCTATTGAAGCGCTACAAAATAAGTGGAATATCCAGGAAGCTCGTCTCCAACGCTATCTCTACCGGAACTACAACATGCTGCACGGCTATGTTGACCAGGCTGTTGGTGACGATGACACCAAAAGCGAGGGACGACCGGCCACCGCAGCCAGCTTGGCCACATTCCTCAACCAGCTCTCCCTCGCGCCTGTCGAAGACATGAGCCAGCGAGATGGCACATCTGTTGCAGCTGAGACGCCGTCTAGCGACGCATCAGCCCTTAGCAGGTCCGCAAGCTTCAAGACTGCCAACAATTATATTATCGAAGACACGGACACGTCAAAGGACGACATTGGCGCTGTAGATTTCAACTTGGACTGGTCGTTTTCACAGCCTTGTTCGAAGCAGAGCGCACTTATTGACCGCGTCCTTCCGGGCTCAGGTTTTTCGTCCCAGTCACATATCCAAACCGACGAGCTCGCGGTACCTGTGTCCACCCAGCCTCGGCCGGCTCTCCTGCGTCCAACCAGCAGCGTACGTAGCAGCAACTCCACCAGCAGCGTCAGTATCAAAACCAACACCAGCATGACAATGGACAGGGCTCTGGTCAACGGGCGGAAATTCGGTACGACACGGACACCATCGCTACGTGGCATGCTAACTGCCAGAAGCACAAGCAAGAGAGAAACGCAAAAGAACTCCGACCTACTTGGGTCTTCCAACATTCCACCACAGCTAGATTGGAATCTTCCCGATATCAACCTCCTTTAGACGAAAAGCAAAAAAGCTCACGGCATGACATTGTTGAACATCTCCCGCCATGAGCAACCCCTTTTTTTTTACACCTCTTTTCCCCCCGACACTCATAGACTTCTTTTCTATTCATTCCCCATTCTGCATGCCCCTGACAGGGCTTGAATCTTTACATTGCCAGCAGCCCCCCCTTTTTTCACCATTTCACTTCAACTCGATACCCCTAATTTTATTTCCCCCTTTTTCTTCTTCTTTCCTTTCTACTTGATGAAACATACTCATACGCTTCGAACGAAACCCTTTTCGAGCCAAAACCTGTCCTGGATTGACCGGAATGATATGAACATGAGCTCCAGTACATACACCGACCAACCAGCCCCCTTCCTTACCTTTCTTCTGCATGAGTGCATTTGGTCAATGTCATCGCCCCTGCCCCCCAGCTCTCGGATACATTTTCATCGGGAATGAGCATCTCCTGCATACTTTTCTACATCTGTTTGATTCTCTTCTTTCTGCCTTTTTTCTCTTTTTTCCATTTACATCATTGTAGGCGGTTCATCTGGTTCCTGGGCGGGATTTTCTACTGGGCGGTTTTATGTCTTTTTATTTGCATATCGCTTTACGGCAGCTAATTATGTTCGAGTATAACATCGCAATCTAATGCGTCGAGAATAGATAATACTTGTCGTCTATCAAGTCTCTATATTCAAATCTACAATGAAAACATCGTAGCCATCCTACGGTACCTATGGTACCTGTAATTGACTGTCCAGCGGCCAAAAGTAAATCCATCACCAACCGCTTAACAGGGCTCCAAAACTAAACAAGCCAAAGCCCGAGATCGATATCAAACCCGAAGCAAACTTGATATAGCAAATACAGCCAGGCAGGCAGTCAGTTACTCTTGACCCGAGCTTAGGTGTCTATCAAAGCCAGATATCAATACACCCGACGGAGAGAGACAACAAACAATGCCGCCGCCGTCCAACCAGCGAGCGGACATCGAGCCGCCTCCGCAAGTCACCAAAGAAGCCACCATGGGCTTCATCACAGGCGCCGTTCGAGTGCGTTAAGTCCTCTTTCTCTCTCTCTCCTCTTTCTTTCCTGCAGTCAATTGGCAGCATCTATACCCCTAGATACACCATAGACTGCCTACCCGAGAGCCCCCCCTCCCGTACATAAGGTACCTACATACCTAGATCGGTCCTATTGATAATGACGACCCTCCGCACAGTTCGGCGCCCTCTCGATCCTGGCCCATCTGATCCTCTCCCTCCCGCATCCAATGCACTTTACATCGAGCACATCCTCGTCGTCGAACGCAGCGAATGGCAAACCGCCGCCGCCGCCGCCGAGGCCGACACCGACGCCCCTGATATACCGACCTCTAGTGTCGTTTTCGAACTCGATTGCGCCGATGTCGAGAGTCTATCGTGGTCTGACGCCGCAGTTTAAGACGTTTATACAGATCAGCATCATGACGCTTGGGGGCTGTATATGGGCCGAGAAGCGGGTGGGCGAATACCTGGATGTAGTCCGGAAGATCAAACGGGCAGAGAGGAGGGCGAGAGATAGCTGATTATTATTATTATTTTCGTTTGTTTCTGCATCTGCAGCTGCGGCTCAGGCAGGGTGTATATATAGTATTGGATGGACCGGGTAACTTTGCATCTTGGGGGCGTTTATACGGTTGGGTTGTGTCTCTACTCATTGCTTTACTCTCCTCTTTGTACATAGTGATAGTCACGGTAAGGATGTTTTTCACTTGTCTCTATCATTAATAATATTGAAGAGTGTCCCTCTGGCTCTGGTGAGGGATAGTGAAACAGGAGTACATTTGAAGAGTACATTGAAGAATAAAAGGAAAAAGGGAAAAGGGAAAAGGGTGTGTGTAAAAAGAATACAGATGCGATGCTAACAGAACGCTGCAGTGCAATGAACTCATACCAACCCAAAGAGAGGAAGAAAAACCAAGCTGTGAGCTGAAGCGAGAAGAGAGAGAAAAAAAGGGGGGGAACATGGTTAAAGAGAGACTGGTGTGAGAAGGGCCAGACATATCTAACTGGTACAATGCTTCCAAACGCATTCTGGGGCGTGTATACGCATGCTAGGAATAGTGAAGGTATCAGGGCGGCCTTTTTAAGGTGTTTCGTTTCCAAAAGAGGGGACGGGGTAGGAATATTAACATTATCCTGATTCTGGGGGAGGTGAATCCCAGTCCTAACAGGCCGTAGAAGTGGTCATGATGGCGATGGTGGTGACGGTGGTGGTGGTAGTAGTGGAAAGGGGTATTAAAAGGTCGTAATATGGTCTCTCCGGTATATATCAAAAAAAACATATTGACGGAATATTTTCACAGAAGGTGGAAGGTCCCCGGGCTGAGTTTCTTTCTCCTTGTTTTTGTTTTTTTAGTGTCTCTCTCTTTCTCTTTTCTTATTCTGTTTCTTCGGTATGAAAGGTCGGATGTAATATTATTGGGTTGGGCCGCCGTCGCCTTGTCC